AGTAGTCGTAGCAGTCGAAGTAGTAGCCTATATAGTAGTAGCAGTCGTCGTAGTCTAGTAGCAGCTAGCTAGCTAGTAGTAGTAGTAGTAGCTAGTAGTAGTAGTAGTAGTAGTAGTAGTAGCAGTAGTAGTAGACGTAGTAGTCGTAGTAGTAGTCGTAGTAGTCGTAGTCGTACTGGTGGCCTTTCCGGTAGTGGTAGTGGTAGTTGTAATTGTAGTTGTTGGTGTATGTACTAAAATGGCGAAATTAATGGTAGCAGAGCAGGAGGAGTTGCAACAGTTGAGGCATTGGTATTTCTCGTCAACAACAGCAACAAGAGCCATGGCAACTATGACAGCGACTATCATCATCACGAGCCCAATGGGGACTAGCATTGAGTGCTGAATAGGTCTGACTTGCTTGGCGACGTCTTTATCGCATGCACCATGTGAAAGCGGGGTTCCTTGTAAAAGATGCTTGAAGACTTCTAAACTTGTTGCAACACTGCTTGATAGCCGATTGGTTCGACGAGGTGCTGCAATTACGAGCAGCTGGGGTGTCAGACCGCAATGGGTGACACTCCAGAATCTCCAAGCTGTTCCTCGGCCGCCTCGAAACATGTGCTGGCTCCGTGCCATGTTGGCAGGTTCTCCGGATGCCATGCCCAAAGTTTTTCGTGTCACTTCAGGTGAAGAAGGAAACGAGTTGGCGTTGGTGTCTCAGTCTTGCAACCAGTGATGACATCGGCGCTTTTCCTATGTTGTGGCAGGTGGAGCCCTGAAAAGAAAGAGCGATGTTGCGCTACTGTAGGCCCCGCGGGATGTTTTGTGGTGTGTCGGTGATGCCCCAATGTTATGTGTCATTCTTCGACGAAGGAATGGGCTGCCCTCACAGGCTCGAGTCTCGAGCTTCAATCGCTTTTTTGACCGCATCGTCTCTACATAGCCTTATTCAGGCCATCCACCTACGACTGTGCCATCTCACACGGCGATCACCCCGAGGAGCAGCTTGTTTGCCCCCTACTTTGCAAGGGGGGGCCAACCCGTGGGGTTTCTCCAGGATTGGCCGAAGGAGAAGAGGGTCGGGCTCTCTCCAGTTTCAGCTGTTTCAAACCACTCACTCGTAGTGTGCACGTTCGCTTGTCAGGATAAGTGCTGTGAGCACTACGGACTTGGTTGTGATGCCGAGCCATATGATTGCGTGGTTGGGCTTACGGACTGGCAAGCAGGTCGCTCGAATTCGTGCGTGCATTTTCTGTGCTTCTGTGTTCTTGGACTACATCGTCGGCGCTTTGCAGCATTTCTGCTTAGCAGTTCTAGCCTGCTTGAGCAGGCTGGACTGCACCTCAGAAAGAGTGGTGCTGTGACCACAAGCAGTTGGGATGTTCAGACACGTGCTCTTCCTAGCTGTGCTTGCAAGCGGAGCTCCCAGCATCTTCAGCATCTCAATGCCAAGGCAGTATGACTGCAAATCTGACGAGAAAGATTGGTCGCGAGCCTACGATAGTTGATAAGAGGGCGAGCCATGTCATGGCGAGAGCTAGGTTCGAGACAGGGGTAGGAAGAGTCATACAAAGCTAACGAGGAAGGAGGGCATGTCACACACTCGGTGCATGCAATCAGAAGCACATTCATTGTGAGGAGCGTGCATCATCGCAAGTACTGCTTGGAGCACAGTTGCCGGGATGCGTCTGCAAAAGCACTTGCCGGGTGTTCCGGGTGTGGACTGGCTCTCCCTTTGAGGTTGTACCGCGCATCATACGGGCTGCGAAGATGCCACGATCCCCAAGCATCAGTCTCAGCTTCTGAGACTTCGCTCAAATCTGCGTGTTGTTTCCGGGAGGGAGACTGCAGAAAGAGCTAGTCAGAGCAAAACACCGACACTAGTCGACAGTGATGGAGATGTCGCCTCGTCCTGTTCTCGTTGAGCTGTCGAGGCCGAAATTCAACTGCAAAAACCTCGGTCAGTGCGTGCTCTCCACGTTAAACCGGCATCCGCGACATCTTCGTTTCTCCGAGGCCGCGAAGGATGGCCAGACGATGTGGACTCCTGGGAGAAAGACAAGAAGGCATACCTCCGATCTAAGACAGCCTCATGTCTTGCTCCAGAAAGCCTGCTTTTGGGTGTTGTCGGAGAGGAGTTCTGTTGCTCAAACTATGCTCGAGGATGCAAGGACATCGTACACGAACTGATGCCAAGCATAACATTCAATTAAAAGTGACATGTGCAGATTTGGTCATTTCCGGTTGAACATGACGTGTTTGTGACAAAGTTGATGAAGCTGCGAGCTTTGGGTTGCATACCAGGGTCGGTGCTGCAATCAAAGGTTCTTCTGTCGCTTTTTCTTGCGGTACACCGGCCGTGAAGATGAGTCAGTTGCTGCGACCTACGACACAGTGATCAAGTATCATGAGTTTAACTCCGCATGAAGCCGAAGGACGAATCTCCATCGCCGGCGATTCGACATCCACATCCGGCCACATTCGTTATGCATTACGACTGCCATGACTGCGACTCAGTGCCAGCTGTGTATGATGCGATTCTCCCAAGTTTAGACGCAGAGACTGGTTAAGGATGGCCTCACCAACTGGAAGACTCGTCCGCTCCTGAATCGTGCTCACGGTGCAAGAAGTAGGTGCTGCCATGGATGCGTACCTGATACTTCCGAGTTTGGCATCCCGCAAAGACTGCCTGGTGCTGTGCTCACAGAGATCTCGGTTGCGACCATCATGCTCGCTACCCAGAGAGTAGACCAAGCAAACGTTTCAGCAAGCCAGAGTAGGAGGTCCCTGTTGTTTCATCGCAGGGCCACTATGACTGCGATGTGCGGCCCCTGGCCTCTTCAGTCCCGGTCTCGCACTGTGATCACAACTGTTGGCTAACAAGCAGCTGCAGTGTTGCGGTTCTCCCGATGTAAAACTGCGGATGAGTCCCTCTGTCGTAGGGCAGTCGTAGATGTTGATGGCAGGCTGGCTCGAAGAAGTCATGGCCAAGTGAGAAACAGGTCGTGGCCTTTCAGCTTTCTTCGCGACTGCGATTTCGCGGTTGCTGTGTTCGAGGACTACTGCTGCCTTTACCACAACAAAGGGTGTCATTTCGATGTCTGGGGCTTAGGCGAGTGTCTCTCAGAACCGTGCCGTAGCTTCGTGCCAGCAAGGCTCATTCAACGCAGTATGTGTACAGTGACACAGACGCTCCCGAAGTTCCAGCGCATGCTCATTATGTCACCACAGATGGGGACATTGAGTATCCGCACAGCTACCACTACAGCTACGACGACTCATACTCTGGCTTATCTCCTGCCGAGCGGAGGTATCCAGAAGGTATGAAGTATGCTGACCGGAGGTATCCACAAGGTTTGAAGTATGTGGCCGATGATATTGCAGGCAACACCGAGTTGCCACATGCTGTCAAGGATGTTAGTGAACAGCATCACTCTGGCCACACAGACCATCACCAGAACGGCGACCACCACGGCAGCAAGGACCATCACCACCACGATGGCAAGACGGGCGTCTCTAGCGTCCTTCACAGAGAAGCTGGACACACCGAGCACGCCAAGCACCTCCCAGAGGGCTCGAAGGTTGTGCATCACATACATACCGTCATGTTCGGCGGCAGCAAGGGCAAATGAGGCCCGTGGTCTGTGCATCTCGTGATCGAGCCTCAAGTCGCGCTGTGCTTTGTGTCAGGATGGACCGCGAGGACTTGACGTCCTACTCGACAAACTTTTTGCTCTGATAGCAGACCCTACAACAGGGGATGCTATGTATTCTTTTCCGTCATCCGGTGCCAACGTCTTCTACTGGAGCGTGATAGTCAGCGGCATGGGATTGCAATTTGATATTGTGCAAAGTCTTTGATATGTGCCTGTGCTCATCAGCAAAAACAGCTCGGTGAGTGCAGGATTTTGTGTTGACGCTCGCCATCTCACAGTTGTCTGGCCGAGAATGATCGCATCATGCTATTGAAGCATAGCTTGCCTGCTTCGACGTCAGTGTGCGAGGCAGTCTGCTCGGTGTGTAGAGTAATCATTGCAAAGATGCGTACGTCTCACACCTCTATTGGCTGGCTGCGCCGGTGGAGTCAACTTAAACAAGTTGGAGAATTCACGCCGTTCCAGCTGTGGCTGCCTCAGACTCCCTGTCCACACAGCATTGGGCTTCCGCGTGGTGCCGACTCTGCTCTGATGACAGTCCTAGTGCTGACAAGCCAAGGTGGCGAAGCTCTGCACTGGATCAGTTGTAGTTTCACCCTTGCAAGCTGGAGCGCCAGGATGCATGCTAATGCTGCCAAAGCTGAGTGTGCTCATGACCGTGCCGCTCTGTGCCGCTCTGTGAATCGCGTATCATTTGATGCCCATGAAATGGTACATACTTGCCAAGTCAGAGAAGAAGCCATGCTCCACACCGTCGGGCATCAGCCACCGGACAGTGAAGTGAAGGGTCTAGTCGGAATCACATGGTGAGAAGCCCAGTAGGATGGGACAGGGCGGGGGTTGCAAGCAATGAGGGTCTGAACTGAGAGCATGTCACGACGCCCAGGGTCTAGGGCCCCAAGCGCTGGAAGCTGCGTATTGGCCTTGCATGCCTAATTCTTTGCCCTCCGAGAAGCATCGACCTGAGATGTTTGAGACTTGAGATTTTTCTTTGGAACTGTGACCGCCCGGAGGCTACATAGGCCGGAAGGTGCCTGGGCAGCAAGCATCTCTGCAGGCAGACCCCCCGGCAAAAATGCTGGATGTGTTTTCGAGGTGTTGTGGGTTCGCCGAAAGTCGAACCAGAATGTGCGTGCCCGAGTACTCTATGACGGCGTGTGGGCAAATGCCAAACAAGACCACTTACAACTGCTCTGTATTGACTTGCGGCCACTGCGGAGGGATATTGTTTCCCGCGTCCTGTGCCGCTTCAGGCCCTTCAACTCCTTGTATAGCTCGTTGCATCTCACTTGGGATGCCGACTTTGCAATGCGGTACGGGTGAAGGCTAAAGGATTTTGCCAACCTCTTGTTGTCTTCCTATCCTTTCTTGGCAATTCTGCCGTCTTCCTACAGGACTCGGTTGTGCTCCCACACCATGTCAAAGCAGAGAACATGCGTACTTGATACTGATGAGCTGGGTGGTAGATCCTAGACAGATGAGGTTTTATGAAGGTGGAACTCTTTCCGAAGGCTTCGCATTCGCGTGATGACAACAGGCAGGGTCACATCGCAGGAAATCTCGGCATCCGATGCCGGTTCGAGTAGAGAAAATGTGGATGAGAGGAGATGTGTTGCTGCGGCTTCTGTCAGTATGAGCAATCTGGTGGGAGCACGATTCCGATATTTGGTAGAAACACGAGTCGCAGCCAAAATGTGCTCGACACGCCGAACTCCGTGACTGAGACCCCACTGAAAAGCCTCTGAGAGCCTTCGAATTGCTTTGGCAGGACTTCGATTTGAAAGCCAATAAGCAGTGCAGGACTGTAGCGGAAGTACGCATGGCATTGTCGCGGGAGCGAGATTCATCAAGTTGGGAAGCGCCAAAGTACGAGTAGTGAATTTTGCCACGAATTCGGAATTCCCGGCAGTCGGGGCCCTGAGGACACAGTTTGATTTTGATCGAGAACCTGCAGCTCTGCAACTTCGCAAGGGAAGTTTTCACCGTCCGACCTCGTGATTCTACTCAAAAAGCCTACCCCTCTCTGTTCGTGTATCTGTCTGGTGGTCTTCTGCCCTCCGCCTAGCTCCCCTTTCCCTCCTGCTTGCCTTGCTCCCTCTTTCATCCCAGCCTCTCTGCCACATGCAATTGCCACCACCGCCTTGCTCCCCGACCTACAAACTGCATGCCAGTCTCGGAGGCTCCACACAGGGAGGCCGTGACCCGGTCCATCCCAATCCTACCATGTGCAATCTATGACTCACATCCTCCAGGTTCTTCCAAAGGAAGGCACTTGTGTCGCAGAGAGAAGGCTCAACACAGACTCCAAGTTCAGAAAGAACTGGTGCTACACGGAGCAACATATGTTCTATATTGTGGTAGTATCTGGGGAGCAACCTGAAATCTTGATGTAGATTTCTACTGACAGAAGATGGCCGAACTTTCGGGTATTTTTTTTGCAAGCTGCCCAGTCTTGGACACAGCGCTTATGCGGTAGCTCGATGGAACATCCAGGAGAAGCTTCTCAAAGGGTCTACAATAAGATCTCCAAACGTCTGACAGTCTGACAGTAGGGTGTATGTTGGATGCTCTGTCGGAAACAGTGGCTTGACGTACGGGTTAGAAACAAGAGACTGTTCAGCTGAATTGTCCTGGCCAGAATCGCCTCTATTCGCCTCTACGTCTCCGTGAAACAGTTCCTCTTACTTCTTCATCTACGCCCGAAGAGATGCAGTCATCCTCTGGAAATCCTGGCATGCGGCCGAGGGTGCGATTCATGCCTTCAAGATGATCAGGCCACTGGGTCGGTCTGCACGTATCAAGTCATGCTCGCGGGAATGAAAAGGTGTCCACAAAGTGGACCAATGTGGGAGAGGGCAGGGGCCAGTACATGTTGGCAGTGTCCTCAAGTGATTCTCCCTCGCAAACTGTATATGAGTTTGGACACCTTGCTGTTGAGCGGCATGAGGTGCCAGGCTACCAGCATGTAGGGGAAGGTCGAGGCGAATACGACGTTGAGCGAGCTGGATTCCAAGCATGCAGGGGCATACCCAGGGCCCACCTGTGCAGTTTGTTAATCCCAGGTCCGCACCTTTAAGTTCTACAAGCCGAAAATCCGATGTGCTGGGGCCTTGGTGCAACTTCCGTGCCACAAGGGTATCGCATGGATTGCCGACAGGTTTGTTGCGGTGTAGTGCTGATCCTGCTTGGCCTGTTTGCGGTGCTCTACCACATGGAGGCCCCTTGCTGCCATCAGGATGAGCAACTTGCTTTCTGGTGATGTGTCCAGGCACAGGTGTTGCACCGGCCACGAACCTACTCATATCATGCGTTGCGCGCTTGATACCTCTGACACTCGCGACATCGCATGAAGGCACGACGGCCTCCCTGGCATGATTGCATCTTGGATTTTAGAGGCAGTTCTGGCAAACTGGATTTCCGGTTTCGGCTCCTTCTACGAACCATGGCTGCCAGAACCGCTTGCAGATCCATTTCCGTGCACTTGGACCAGCGGGTGGACCTGGCACTTGTGTGATTTTTGATGGCTGTGCGCTGGCAGCAGGACCGCCACGACGGTCATGAGAACTCTAATCGAAGCGGCGTGGAGGCGCTTCCAAACATGTGATCTACCTGTCAAGGGGATTTTGCCGAAGTTATGCTATTTAGGCATTCAGTACGCATCGCAGTCGCGCCGCAACATCTTCCAATGCAGAGCCAGAGTCATGCAGTGTCTGCGATTGTCTGGGCAGAGTCGGGGACTGCCTGGCAGGTGTGCAGATTCTGACCAGAGAGCGGCCAGCGTGTCCGAGTCCTGCCAGGAGTGCCGAGTCGGAGGAATTTTGCGGAGGCTGAGGCTCTGAGGCTCTGCTCTTCGAGCCGCTTCCGAGGAGCTCTTGGAGCTGGCACCCGTGGCGCAGAAGCTCTCGAAAGGTGATCGGAACGGAAACGGCCAGCTGGGACTCCCAACCTCAGTGGTGGACCTCTCTCTCTCTCTCTCGCAGCATTACTGTAATTCTTTCAAGATTATTGCTCCTTTCTGGAGGCTGGATCGTGAAGAGTTCGAGGCTGCATTGGCTGTGAAGACCTCAGCTGTTCAGATGGGACCAGTCAGCGCAAGCCAACACGGTTGGATGGTGAACAGAATCTAGGACCTCCATAGGAGTTATGCCTCCAGAAGCTACAGGCATGCATCAGGTTGGTTCAGAGTTTTCTAGGGCACCTCCCAAAAGCTCAAATCGCTCGAGCCATGAGCCTCGAATTTGTGGCCACGGTCTGTGCGAATCTGTTCTGGTCTGTTTTGGTTCCCTATTTGCAGTTTGCTCTAGCCGAGGATGACAGCAGTGCCGCTGATGCCCTATGGTTCGATGTTGATGCAAACCATGATGGACAGGCTTCGGGAGTGATGGTCACTTGCACTGCCATTGCCAATTCGCAGGGTCATACCGTAGTGGCACAAGTACGGTCTTGCCCTAGGGGGTTGCCTGGGTCGAACCTGCGATTGAAGTGATGAATGCTTCTGCAGGTGGACGAGCAGGAGCTTCAAGACGCCGAACGGCGACAGCTGCTTCCCGCTGCTTGGAGCATTGGCTCGCTCTGAGGGTGACAATCCACCAGCTCATCACAGGCCACCTTGGTGGCAATGCTTCTTGCCGCAGACGCAGACTCAGACGGCACACTTGGCTGTGCACTCAGCTGCTTGCCCTTGGACAGCTGGGCACATCTTTCTGCTTGCAATTAGTCGAGGTCGGCAAGAATTTCTCAGTGTTGCCAGGCCCTATACAGAAGGCCCACTGTTCAAAAGTTTTGGCCAAGTTCCACCCAGTCGGCATGCTGCTTGGCAAGGACGCGGCATCGAGGATGCCAAGGCATGCCGTGTCGTATGTAACTCCCTCGTTCCTCATTGGTCCAGTGGCTCACAGCAGGCAGCATGGTCGCTTCTGGACGGGTGCCTTGTCCTGACTGCCTCATGTGGCGGTGTTGTGCGGCTGCAGAAACCT